AAGAATTTTTGCCCGAACATATATTCTTCATCTCTAAATAAAGTATTTTAATTTAAACCTACGAGTTCCTGTTTCAGATACCAGCTTTAGTAACAATGGCAGTTCATACACTAAATTAAAGGGAACTAATTACAGATAAAAGAACGGAAGACACCAGCGAAATAGGGTTTTAAAGATGTAGGAAAGCAAAATGCGACGCAAAAATGGTTGTGGAGGAGAGTGGCTAATACAGTCCATTTCCACATCAAAAAAGTTCTATTCTAAAGTTGCAGTTAACTGTTCCACTGCGATAGGCAACTTTTTATAACAGTCTTTTATAATAGTTTTAGTTGTCACTTGTTAGTTTTGAGAGTAGCACTCGTACTTGAAATATTTAGATCTCGGTGTACCACATGTTGACACATGATTTTACTATCCGGTGTGTAGGTTACATAGTCGATAACTATGTCACTGTTCTATCTTATACGGGGCTTGGAGAAGGACTAGTTCATCTCAACATGTGATTAAAGTTAATTCCCTCAGCAAGATACTAGAAGGTTCACTCATCAGTCCTAGTATTCGGGCGTATAGGGCTAGTGCTATAGTTTCTGTCTGGAGATTCGATTGAGGTATAATTCATTCTCTGAATTATTTGAGGGTGAGTTATTGATGGCACTTCTTTAAATTGTTATAACAAAGGTGAAAGTGAAGATATAAAGAGAAAGTAACCAACAGTATTTTATCCATCATTATAGTGGGAGTGAAAAGGGACCCAGCTACCTTTCGGGTCCAATTCAAATCATAAATTGGAAAAATGGTAATGTAGAATGGCGTAGTCATGGACATCATCTAGCAGTTTTGGTGACAGTCTTTATGTTTTGCTTAATGTAAAAGCATTAAAGTTTTACATTTCAAAGAATATTACAAAAAGAAAGTTTAATTTTTATTGCATTTTCAACAGTCAATAATGAAAAAAATATAATTCTTATTGTAAAAAGTAGTTAATTTATCACCTTTCTTTTACAGTAATCTGATATCTTGAAAGTGGAAATTGGGCTAAAATAGACAAATAGATAAAAAGCGTACATATCACAATCGTGATGACGTAGTTTTCCATGGTTTAACAATGACTACTGATAGAAAGAGAGCAAAATAAAATACTCGAAAAAGATGGGAAGATCATTGCTAAACATTCACAACCAGTAGTTACAATTCCCGCTCTAATCGTGCAATGCCGTTATCAAAGTTGAATTGGCGTTACCACGCGATTGATTACGGGTAGTGACCACTTTTTCAGGATAACGAAACGGAAAGTGCTCAGAGTGGAAGATATTCACAGAGTGTTCACAGTGAATAGGGTACACGAATTGTCCGGTGGACCGGTGAGGTCCAAATTAGTTGTCACGGTAGGTCAACATGTGTGCCAGAATACACAAAATCATTATGATATGCTGAACGAAGTACAGATAATTCTTCACTCGAGAAGAGATTCGTAAAATTATTGGTGATTGGCAAGTATGAGATACTATTTCAAACTGAGATAATGAGATAAACACCAGTGTGTAAAAAAATATTCCAAATTCTACCTGTTTTATTACTATTGAATAAAGCTTTCAATTGTTACTCAGCTTTAACATCAGCTAGGGATTTAAGTTGTCAGAAATATATTCAAAACATATTACAGAACTTGAAGTATTTTCCCAACTTTAAATAAGAAGCATTTGACAGTTACAGTTATCATGGGCCGCATTTAGGCTTCCTAAGGGGACACCAACGAAAGGGGAAAACGGAAGACGAGGAGTCGCGGACGGCCAATATTGGGTGGAAGTATAACCCCATTTGAGACAACACTTTATTTACAAAAAAGAAGATCAAGAACTGCGCCAATTAAAAATTTATAAAGCATGTCTTTTCTAACAAGTTTCTGTTATTTTAAATGGACTGATGAAATGTTTTCATCAGCAAGTTATCCAGGTGAAATGATTCAATATTTAATAGTGTTTTTGTATTTATACTTTAGGTACAAGAAAGTTCATCAAATGTATATTTGGTACGACGTTAAGTGATTTGTTTAGATTTAGATTTGCTAGTTTCTGTCGGGAATTGAATGGGGAAAGAATATTCTTTATTGACTTCGATAATGATGGATTAAATTAATTATAAAAGGAAAAAGGATATGAGACAAAAATAAATATAAAAATTGCGTGTTTGAGCAGAAGAGGGGAAAAAACAGAACTCACCCTTTGTGTCCAATCAAACAGACAATTAAGAATATGTGAAGCATCGAGCGACAAGCTATGGTCTTCATTTATTTAGTTACTTGTTGATGTAAAACTTTAATATGTGAATCCTTCAAAGAAATTGAACAAAAGTGGAATTTTTTCGATGTAAACATTCGAAACAGTTGGGAAAACAATATAAAAAATTTTAAAATTTATATACGTTTTTACAAAATTTCCATACGGATTAATAACAAAAGATAAACTACGTTAATTTTATTTCAGAACAAGAGATACTAATGGGTTTAATAAATAAAAAGCTGAAAGGAAAAATCACGTATTTGTTATCACATACATGATTTATTCACATGTGTATATTTACAAACTGTCGGACAAAGATGGGGTAGAGTAACAGTCACCAACTAGTGACGTATATTAGTAGTGTCCAGTAGTGAAGTTTCACTTGACACTTAGAAAATGTCTAGATAGTACAGATTTCCACCAAAGTCTAATTATGGTGAATATGTAGATGGATACTACTATGAGATAAGTATACATGATCTGTGCGCGACGATGATCCATAATTTGTACTGTGAGCTTTGCATAAAGGGGTTCTCGTTCAAGGATGTGAGCGTACGGTGTCAATAGGCATCTACAGTAGTACCTGAATTTAAGTGTTCAGGTCATTATATATATTGGGCGTTTTAGCCTGTGTGTACGCACCATAACAATACAAACCTGCTCCATTCCGGCAACTTTGAGTATGTCTACAGGTGCTTTATTTTGCAGGAGGTTTGTGGGGAAATAACAGATGCCGCCGATAAAAAAGGGTGTTTGACCAATTCTGATATTAAAGAGATTATATTTTTACAGCAATTTTACGGGAGAATTTCAAATATGTGGACTTTGACAGGAAGGGATATGTCAAAATTGCCAATTTGTTTCGAATATGTTACATTCATGAAAAAATATATAATTACTTCAAAAATGTTTACAATTAAATAAAAAATGTAGTATTTGGACTTACAGAGAAAGTTGAAGTGTTTGAGTATGCTTAAGGACAACAAACTATCATTTGGATCGGAAGTAATTGTTGGAAAAGTACTCCTTCCCGTTATTCTGTACCCATTTGTTTTCTATGCGAAACCCTACCCAAAATACTAATGAACTTTACCCGATAATGTTCCAATTTGGAGTTTTGACAATATATTTTCAATCTATATCACACATAATTATCCAACAAGTTTCAAGCCATTGCGGTTTTAAATGTATAGTTATTATAGGTAGGAAATATCACTATGGTACACAAATCTGATTGCCAATTATTTAACCCAATTCCGTACACCCAACTCTGTGACTGTACATATCGTAGTGCACACTCAACTACACCCTCATACTGTGTACTGGAGTAAATACATTAACAGATTGAAATCGAGTCACTTTATCTTGTACACAATGAAAGAGACTCTGCGGAGAAACGAGGGGCGTTCATGGTGCCACTGCCATGATAGTAACCTGTACTCCGTTTTATAGATCTATATTATAGCGTACACTTAGCTGTATATTGACCACATTTGATATAATCACATACAACTAAGAACTCAGATACCGAGTACCTATCTAGGGATTTGGCTGCAGGACTGGAATCGGTCAGATATCAATCAATCTTCCTTTTTTTCAGACCGGAACCGAGTGGCAAACAGGAGAATTAAAATCTTATTAAAATATTGGTGATTTAAGTATTCTTGAAACGAAAAATTCACTAAGTTTTTGAAAAGCATTTTCCTCCGCGTTTCATGCTATTTGACCACTTTTGGCGAAAATAATCTTTTGAATTTTCGAAGTCTCAAAAAAATGTAATATAAGTGAAAAATCTTCAAAGTTTTTCTAAAAACTACTTTTTTCCGTGTTTTGAGCTATTCCGATCATTTTGAGCCAATAACAAATTTTAAAATTTTGCTAATTAGCTAATTGATAATTATCCAATTAACTGATCGTCTGACGTAAAAATTGTCTTTACAAAAGTTTTTCCTCCTGATAACAGTTTTTCCTCCTGATAAGATGAACACCCTCGATTAATTTGCAAGCTTTTAGTTTTACGATGTTCAAAACTAAAAATATTCGACAAACAAGAAAGGTGGTAAAAAGTGGTAAAAGATTCAATATTAAAATGAAAAATGATTTGACATCGGTTTTATTTTCAAATCAATTTTAAAACGATGGCGGGTCTGAGCCACCATACTAGTCCCATACCTTATAAACCCTGCTAGTAACTTAGAAAACACACTCTTTTAAAAATATGTAAAATCCGGATTGGAGTATTATTATATGAGTCGCATTGTTGGAATTTTTTGGATAAAGTGAACATGATAGCCTGAGGTCCCCAGGTAAAGAAAACACACTCTTTTAAAAATAGTATGTAATTTGGATTTCAGTCGATAAAATTGATCCAGAATAGTGACAGTTTTGATTGAGCAATAAACAATTAGCATTATCAACTATCAAGACTTCCTAGTTCCATGACAACAGTATATTAATATAATTATAAAAACCTTTGTCATTTCCAAAAATGCTGCCTGATTACAGCAAACTTGCGCGCATTTTTTCTCGCCATGGCTTCTCCGAAAATAGCTACTCTATTAGTGAGTATTACTATATGTACCCTTATATTAACTTAATGGAATATTTGTATCGTTATAATAAATTTTACAATTTTACAATGTGTTTTTGTATTCATTACTGTGACATGAAATAATCCAATACTCAATTTTTGTTGTTTTTGAAATAAAACAATGTATCATTTTCATTAAATCAATAATAGAGTTTTCATGTGATGAAAGAACATACTGTTGATTAGTGAATTCCTTTTAATCATGACTACAGAGGCCCCGAGAAGAAAGTGAAAGGTTCGAGGAATAAAAACCTGGTATGCCTACTTGAACTAAGTTTATTTCTCTGACACCAGAAGAAACTAGTCGACTATAGTTACTAAGAATCATATAGATTGTAAAACATAAACGTCTTAATGAGTTAATATTTTCCTAAAGTATAATATTTTCCTAAAGTTAAACTTAAATAATAAAACATGCTATTTAGTTATTCTGATTGAAAATTCAAGCACTATTACCGGACCAGAAGTTATTGTTGTTGTAAGATGACAGTAGCTTTCTGGCATGGGCAGAGCTGTTTATCACGTACATCATATCGTAAGTTACAATTTGTATTACAATTTGTAACGAATCTCTTGAAAAGTTAGATCTTGTTCAGCTTTTTTGTTGAAAAGGTGTGTAAAAACAAAAATGGAGAACTGAACTTCGATACATCTCCTAATCCTATTTGCTATTCCAGCGTGAAATTGATTTCCAATTTAGGGAGTTAAAAGGCGGCTTGCACCCGAGTGAAATTCTGTCTGTTTAATTTCCTGAAAATAATGCAGTTAAATAAGCTGTACTTATTAATTATAAGTAATTATATTAATAATAAGTAATTATATTAATGATAAGTAATTATATTAATAATAAGTAATTGTATTAATAATAAGTAATTATATTCCAAAATAGCATTTGAGATGTGCAAGTGACGGGTTTTCAAGACTGAAATATTAAAAAGTATGTAACCTATTGACACTGCGTCTGAGAAGGGAGTCAGTGGGTCTCGACTTGGGCACAGTGGGTGGGTTGAAAACCTGAGGTGAATTCTTAATTGACCAATTAACCTCGACCGATTAACCTCACTCAGAGAAATTTTATTACAATAAACTTTCAGCCTTCATTTATGGCTAAAAGAACTGTGTTATTTCTTTATTTGATTGATTGATTCACTCTTGTACATGCTCACTTTGAATCAATACAACCCGTACTTTACTCTTATTATTGCTAATTATTATTAATTATTACTTATTATTACTTATTATTACTTATTATTACTTATTATTACTTATTATTACTTATTATTACTAATCTTACGTAAAACCTACCCCATATTTGGGACCGAGAGGTTTCTTCACTTTAACTGCGTACCCGTCTACAGGGTGGGTGGGGTACTTGCTGAACGTTCCCGCTTTACAGTTTCCCATCTGAACGGAAAACACTCATCATCTTCTCAGCAAGTGAGTTTAATTAATTAATTAAAACATTCATTTTAATCTAATTGTTATATATTCGTTTGTTCAACATCTTAATGATTGAGGGATGAGTTATGAGTAACTTAATAAGTATGATGAGTAACTTAATAAGCATGATGAGTAAGTTAACAACTATATTTACTAGTTTGCTTGGGGAAGTTGGTTTGAAAGCTAGTGGAGGTGGACCAGCTCTGACTTTAGGGGCTCTAGCTGCGGGCAAACCTGAAACAAGACAGATTAACTGTGAGAAATAGGTGACTGGGGCTACATACTTGAAGCATGAACCTTCCAGAGAAATAGTATTAACAACGCAATATATAATTATAATCGTGAAGGTTTTCAAACTAACTTTTGTCAGCTTTGTAAGGATTTTCTTTGAATAGAGGCTTCGGATGCATGTTCAGTTTGAAGGCTCCGCCCACCATTCTCTTTTGACTTTCCTTCCTCTCTTGCTGAAAAGACATAGTTCCAATAAAAGATAAGTTAAATGTATTGTCCATTTATCTTATCAATTGGGGAGGTTGAACAACAATTAAGCTAATGTAATCAGTAACTATAGAATATAATATTATCTTGTCGCTAAATGTTTTTTGTATCCCAATTGTAATCAACATACCTATTGGGTGAGAAAATGTTAGTCACTTATGGTTTTTTTTTTGACATGCTAGTATGTAGTTGCGTATGTATTGGGGTAACGATTTCTTCCGAACCTCCACGTTGGTTTGGTATTGGCACTAATAGTGTTGTTACTCACCTTGAAATCTAAGGTGACCTTTCCAACTCAAAGTTTAGGTAACCCCAGAAGTCCAACATACCATTAGTAGAAGGATCCAGTTTTAAAATATCTTTTTAAGATAATAAGTAATACAAGATTATTCACTAAACTGGTAAGATTACTTAGTGTAGCAGTATACCTAGTCCCCCTAAGGGTAGCAATTAAATACTAGGAAATTGCCCGCTTTCAGCTTCACGGTCCATCGATAGTCAACAATTAGTGGTGATTAGCAATTCGCTTGATCTTTGAACTACAAGGCCCACAGTGATTAAAAAAGAGTAAATCTCATTCTAGGGTCCAGTACCACAAATTTTAAGGTTCTTCAAAATTAAGATTCAGATGCTAATGCGTAAGGGGTGCCACCGCTAGGAACTTGGCTCGTGTAAGGAAGGGAAAGGGTTTTCAACTCTGACTCGGTGCTCTGATACTAATCCTGCCTCTTTACTGCGCAGTAACCTTTCTTTTATAGTGGGAACGGGTTAGTAATGCACTCTTTATTCAAAAGGTGTTGACCTATTTCAATAGTAGAATAGCCCCGTTTTGAATGACATCTTAGGTTAACTATTTAAAAATTTTTCTTAATTCTCCATTAGTATTCGGCTCTGCAGAGATGCTTTATGAACAACCTGCCCCATTAACTCGAAACCTTAGACTGTAAGATAACCTCGAACTTACTGCTTTAAGAATACTGACCTCGATTCTGAGAACGGTAAAAGCTAACCCGAATACCGGAATAAAGAATACAATGAATGCTCTAGGGTAGAGAAGGAAACCACATTTAAGCTTTACTCGATTTTTGGGTATCATGCTTTTACTGGCACTGACGTTAATGGTTCATTGCAGAGTATTCTTCTTCAATGTTAATTAGCTGAAAGTACGCTACTTAGAACAGTTATATAACCAGGTAATGTATCAGAACCCTAAGTGGCATAAACTACTAGGTTCTAACATAAATACTATATATCCTTTCAGATTCCCACGTGTTGTTTAGCCCTTAAGAGCCACAAATTTTTAACTGGCCAGCTCGTCAGCAACCATACCAACTCAACTCGCTAGCTTTGTTTACTCACTAATAACACTTGTGTTATGATCATGAAGTATTTTACGTAAAGAGAACTATTTCACCCCAAAATAAAAGAATTCCTTCCAATGTCCATATAAGAAGTAAAAAAGGTGGACACCATGAAAAGGAAAAAATAAAAGTTATTCTCTCCATAACGGTACACAGGGAAATTAAGATACTTCAAATGTAACTTCACTCACTACATATAGTTACCTAACATTGGACTAATATCTGAACACAAACAACTTTAGGCCATAAATTCAGTCAAGTAAAAAGTAACTAATTCGATACAAGACTGTACATACTGCACATAGCAGAATTCTCACAAACTTTTGAACAATGCAATCCAGATGAGACAATCTAAAATGAAAGTTTTTAAAAGCTGCTAAAATTGAGGAAAATCATCAATAAGTTGCTAGCTCGACTCCTTTAACAAATTCATGTCAACACTCAATAGGTTTTGGCCAGAAGAATAATTTGGATGCATTGTTTTATACACAAATCATAAACAAAATCATACATCTACGACTCCACAAGAAATATCACAGATAGTGAAAATATAGGGAAGGACATGCTAGCCTCGCTGTGCAAAGTTCAAAGAAATACACATTGCAGTGGTATTGTCACAAGCATTACTAGAAACAGTTGAGACGTCAGAGGTTTGTTGCGTTAGATGTTAGTTAATTCGTATGTTTTTGTATTTGTGGGAGTCGTGGTGTGTGGCTAGCAGGTGTAAACTTGGTGGGAGGGTGGGAGGGTTTGTCAGTAGTGTGGCGTCGTTTGGATGAACTGTAGTGAGGAGTGGTGGTGATGTATGGTGTATGAGATGTTAAGTGATTGGTGTAATGTTTCTATGTGGATTTGTGTAGTTAGTTTGGGTGTGTGTGTATGTGGTTACTGTTGTGATCCTTTTAGGAGGGTTGAATGTAAATGTTTGTGGGGGTGTTTGGTGCGCGTGTTTTTGTTGTGTGTGTTGGTCGTGAGTGTTTGTGTTGTTAGTTTGGTAATGTGAAATTGTTTGATCTTTAGATTGCATGTGTGGCTGTGAGTGAGTTAACAAAATGTAAACAAGGATTAAAAAGATCTCGTAAGTAAGTAAACTAGGGTTCCCAAAAAAAAAAATAAGATGCTATAAATATGTTAACAAGTTCGAACCAGTAAGTAAAATAGAACCACAAATAGTAATAACAATCGATTACTTTAACGCAAAGTAATTTGTTTAAGTGTAGCTGTTCATTAGCCGCATGTACCATATAAATATTGCCGCCAACCCCATGAAGGAAACTTGGTCTTGTCAGAGGGAAGGAAGGGTTTTGGAACGATGTTCTTCTTGGTGCTCTGTATTCTATCCTGCCTTCTTCTCTTTACTGCGTCGGTGTAAGCTTCTTTCTTATGGTAATAGTGTAGTTAGTTAATATGGTGTTAGTGAGTACATCTCTTTTATTCAAAATGCGGTGTTGACTATTTAAATAGTGGAGTAAGTCCACTTGTTTTAATTATTACATGGTGTTAACTATTTAAAAAACATTTGTCTCAACTCTCCATTAGTATTACCTTCTGTACCTGTTAATATGAACTAACCTCGAATACTAACCTCGAATACTCTAATGAACTGGTTAGAGAAGTACTAACCTCGAATAATCTGATGAACTGGTTAGAGAAGTACTAACCTCGAATACTCTAATGAACTGGTTAGAGAAATACTAACCTCAGATACTCTAATGAACTGGTTAGAGAAGTTCTAACCTCGAATACTCTTCTGAACTGGTTAGAGAAGTACTAACCTCGAATACTCTAATGAACTGGTTAGAGAAGTAACCATCAGTTAGAGCTGTTCTCTGTTTTGTGGAGGTGGTCATCATCTGCTTTCCTTTACTGGCACTGTCGTTATATGGTCCTGTGCAGAGGTATTGTAACTATTATTAATAAGTAGGATTATTAAAGCTTGTTATGCATTAGAAACTTAGAAACAGAGTGTAGTGGAATAACACAGGGTATTGCTATAATATGTTCATTATATGCAAGCCTCTTGATTTATAGTAACTCATTAAGATGTATTGCTATAGTAACTCACTAAAATGTGTTGCTATAGTAACTCATTAATATGTGTTGCTATAGTAACTCACTAAAATGTGTTGCTATAGTAACTCACTAAAATGTGTTGCTATAGTAACTCACTAAAATATGTTGCTATAGTAACTCACTAAAATATGTTGCTATAGTAACTCACTAGAGTTGGGGGCAGTGTAGGGTTCCCCGATAGTTGTGTACCCCATCTCGCTGAAGAGCCCCAACTTGTTGTAGTTAGGCTGGGACATGCCTCGTCCAGCAACCATCACCTAACTCAACACTGTACTGCTTTAGTAACTTATAAAAACTCACCTAATGCAACACTAGTGGATATATATTTATACAGTACTTTTTCGTAAAGAGAAGCTGGACTTGGGTCACCCACAACAATATAGCATGTAAATGTCTTGCCAACCTTTGGTGTGGGATGCCGGTGAAATCTATAGTAAAATGAAGGAGGTAAACCCATAGAAAAGGAGCTAAAGAAAAAAAAAGGCTTTAGGTCACTCCGGTATGATCCAGTTCCTCGTGAAAGGTAAGATACTGTCAAATGTAACTTGCACCCCTCCTCGCATCTTACCTAGTATAATTGTTAAACCTCAAAACTATCTCGGAACCAAATGATCTGAAGCACTAAACAAATCGTATATAGTGCCCAGGTAACATTTAATTCAAGTAAAAAGTAAATACATACGTCATACATAGCAATAGTACATACGTCATACATAGCAGTAGTATTCTTGCAAAATTTTGAACCAAATGCAATCTACAGAATGCAGAGCTAAATCATTCATTCAAAGTGAACGTTTAAATTTAGCTGCAAAACTTACTAATTGAAAATCAACAAGCAAGTCATGCTTTGTGCTCGACTCCTTTACCACAAAATGTCATGTCAACACTCATAGGTCTCTTGGCTTCCGATGAATGAAAATTTAAGGACTGCGATTGTTTTATACACAAATTAGACAACTGAAAAACATGCATATCCATCTGAACGACTCAGCAGCGTATAAAAATACACAAATATGAAGAAATAGTAAAGATTTGCTAGCCTCGTAGTTGCAAGAGTGTTTCATAAGCAAATACACATTGCAGTAGGTATTGGTCACAAGCATTAATCTTAGCAAATCAATGTGTGAGCGTCTATGCGTGTGTGTGTGTGGGAGTGAGTGTGAGAGGGTGTGTGAGTGTGAGAGGGTGTGTGAGTGTTTGTGATGTGTGTGTGTGTGTGTGTGTGTGTGTGTGTGTGTGTGTGTGTGTGTGTGTGTGTGTGTGTGTGTGTGTGTGTGTGTGTGTGTGTGTGTGTGTGTGTGTGTGTGTGTGTGTGTGTGTGTGTGTGTGTGTGTGTGTGTGTGTGTGTGTGTGTGTGTGTGTGTGTGTGTGTGTGTGTGTGTGTGTGTGTGTGTGTGTGTGTGTGTGTGTGTGTGTGTGTGTGTGTGTGTGTGTGTGTGTGTGTGTGTGTGTGTGTGTGTGTGTGTGTGTGTGTGTGTGTGTGTGTGTGTGTGTGTGTGTGTGTGTGTGTGTGTGTGTGTGTGTGTGTGTGTGTGTGTGTGTAAATGTGATGTGTGTGTGAGTGTGATGTGTGTGTGTGTGAGTGAGAGGATTGAAGCCCAAAAATGTAAACAGGAAAAATAGCTGCTAACATTTTTGTGAGAAGATAAACCTGAGGTCAAAATAAAAACAATATTGATGTTTTAAATATTTTAACATGTTCGACCAGTAAGTAAAATATGAACACACAACAGGTAACGTAACAATCGATTACTTTAACTTTGCAAGTATATTTTGGTTTAATGTGTCAGCTTGCATATCATAAAATAGCGAAAACGCCAGTAAGCAATAAGTACTCAAATATCAAATATTAGCCAGCACAAATGCAGCAATCATGTATGATACGTTGTGCATTACTGTAGCTAGTAGCAACACAATAATTTTTTGTAATAAGATCCAGTACTGCAGCTCACAACTTAATATCCATGGCAACGCTATGAACATTGAACAAGTAATTCGTCACATACCCTGATCAGTATTCTGAATGAAGTTCCTTCTTCGAGTAAAGCACGTTATGGAATTAGTAAGGAAGATTCAGATGGAAAATTGTCCACCAAATATATCTGCCTCTGCCTCTGCCTCTGCCTCTGCCTCTGCCTCTGCCTCTGCCTCTGCCTCTGCCTCTGCCTCTGCCTCTGCCTCTGCCTCTGCCTCTGCCTCTGCCTCTGCCTCTGCCTCTGCCTCTGCCTCTGCCTCTGCCTCTGCCTCTGCCTCTGCCTCTGCCTCTGCCTCTGCCTCTGCCTCTGCCTCTGCCTCTGCCTCTGCCTCTGCCTCTGCCTCTGCCTCTGCCTCTGCCTCTGCCTCTGCCTCTGCCTCTGCCTCTGCCTCTGCCTCTGCCTCTGCCTCTGCCTCTGCCTCTGCCTCTGCCTCTGCCTCTGCCTCTGCCTCTGCCTCTGCCTCTGCCTCTGCCTCTGCCTCTGCCTCTGCCTCTGCCTCTGCCTCTGCCTCTGCCTCTGCCTCTGCCTCTGCCTCTGCCTCTGCCTCTGCCTCTGCCTCTGCCTCTGCCTCTGCCTCTGCCTCTGCCTCTGCCTCTGCCTCTGCCTCTGCCTCTGCCTCTGCCTCTGCCTCTGCCTCTGCCTCTGCCTCTGCCTCTGCCTCTGCCTCTGCCTCTGCCTCTGCCTCTGCCTCTGCCTCTGCCTCTGCCTCTGCCTCTGCCTCTGCCTCTGCCTCTGCCTCTGCCTCTGCCTCTGCCTCTGCCTCTGCCTCTGCCTCTGCCTCTGCCTCTGCCTCTGCCTCTGCCTCTGCCTCTGCCTCTGCCTCTGCCTCTGCCTCTGCCTCTGCCTCTGCCTCTGCCTCTGCCTCTGCCTCTGCCTCTGCCTCTGCCTCTGCATCTGCCTCTGCCTCTGCCTCTGCCTCATCAGGGAGTATGAACCTACACATATTAATTATATGAAGCAATATTTAATTGAATGAACCAATTTGACCCCGATTCTTTGAACCACATGTTTTACCGGTATGGTTTTCTGGTCCCATTGTAAGTGTACATACAAATCTGCTGTGTTATCTGATAATCATCATGAGGTGCTAAAAAGATAAGAGCCGTTTTTGAACCATGAGAAATATTAGGCCATTTCTACTAGTTCCTCCTGCCCTGCCTTGCCGAGTTTATTAATTGCTTTAGTGAGATCGTATATTAATATAAATCAATTATCGTGAAGGATATCAGTTTTTACAAATATATTCACAGAATTAACATCTATCGTTTTTAATTGCTATTGTTTCATAAAGTTTACTGCCCATACGTTTTAACTTAATTAACAATATAGAGATCTAAAAAACCTCTTCCCCACAATCACGATGTCCTATGATCCGGAACGGAACCAAACTATCGCCATGGCAACCCCTCGCTATCACCATGTCACCACTGAGCATGACAAGTCCCCCTTCTCTATCACCATGTCACCCCTTACTAGGTCAAGTCATCCCTCAGTGCGTTTGAAACATGCCTGACCGCTAGTCTCCCTTATTTTATTTAGTTTCACAAATTGATTTCTTCTTTCACCCCCAAATCTGACCCCCAAATCTGATCAGACCTTGTTTCAGCGCATCTCCTCCAGAGCTCCTTTATAAATACAACCACTGTTCCAATTCATGGTCCCTGCATTAACTTGATTAGTTCCGAATATTTGATATCGAATCAGAAGTGCTGTGGACTGTTTTCTTACTTCACTGGAAGTGGAGTTTCACGTCTGCACTAAATGCAACATCTTCTTTTGTTCAATTCGTTTCTTATGTGCTTATTTTCCCAAAGTTCACTATCAAATTTTTATTGATGCTATGATTTTAACTCTGTAAGGTAAAAATTCGATATGAGGGATTCATAATCCCTGTTTTGAAAGAAGGTACTGTTCCAGGTATTATGATATCAGACTGACGTATCGGAACTGTGTTCTATAGACAAAGCTAAATTTTCCTGACATGACCAGAGGTTCTATTATCAGTTTAGGAATAGCAAATCCAGTGTTCCGTCCAAAGTGAGTAAATAAAGACATCGCTTCTCAGCTCATACTAAAATGATTCCAAAAATTATTTTTCTTTATCTTTATATATTTTTTTCTCTTTAAACAATTCTCCTTTGAAAAAAAAATGTAGGCCGTTTGCGTCGATCATGGGTCTAGGAAAGTTTTTTGTTTCAAATAAGAATATGGCAATTCGGTAATCTGTCGATGGCCACGTAACCCACGGTTAAGTATATTGTCATTGACGTAGTGGATGGTTGAGCGGGTTTCAAGCACTCTCAAATCCCAAAATATTGTTTGATTGCGCCGTAAAAATAAATAACTGTTTTATTAAATAAATAATTGTTTTATTAACCGTGCGTTTCGTTCAACAGTGTGCCTTAACCGTGTGCCTTAACCGTGCCTTATCATTCACAGGGGGGATACCGATAAGTAACCATTGTGCGTTAACCGTGCGTTAACTGTGCGTTAACCGTGCGTTAAGTGTCCGTCAAGTGTGCCTTAACCGTGCGTTAAGTGACCATGGCCATCGACAGATTACCGAATTGTCGCAACGCGGACGGATATAACAGTGCAGTAACAGAATGCTTGAAACTAATTGTTTTTTCGTTTCAGCACAGATGAAGAAGGTGTTTTCGACAATGACGGTTTCGTGGACCAGTAAGTGACATTTTAATCGCCCTAAATACGTTGCTATCTACCAAAATTACTATTCCAATAATTAAACGATATTTGCATAGTATTTGTAGAAATATGCACTCATCAACAGTTTTTATTCAGTGAGAAGGTAGAAATAGGTGTCCCATCGGTTCAAGAGAAATCAGAAGCAGACACTGCTTCAACAGCTCCGACTGAGTTGAAAGCTAGTCTCAACCTGGGACACGCCGTGTCATTGGCAGTTGGCCAAACTATCGGTTCAGGTAAGGTTGTAGTCTATATAACTATAATTGCATCGGAGATTATTTTATGTTTATTGATATAGAGTAGAACTAGATATATTGTGTTAATAACCTAATATATAATAATGATAATAAATAATCTTCAGGAATATTCGTATCGCCGAATGATGTGGTGAAACAAGTCGGATCAATTGGAATGTCACTCACTATCTGGCTCATCTCAGGTTAGTTTTCAGTAAATCTTAAAATCAAACAAATTCTTTGTTGAAATCATCAACGAGAGATTCAATACAATACGTAAATACTTTGTTTTCGAAGATCGATTTTTTCACTGATTTTCAGATAAAATGAATAGCACCATCCTAGCGTTTTAGCACGATTTTTGGAAAATTTTATCAAACAATTTTAATTTTAAACAATTTTTTCAGGGACACTGTCTATGTGCGGTGCTTTAACGTTCTGTGAGTTGGGGACCATGTTCAAAAGGAGCGGGGGAGAGTACCAATACATCAAGGCTGCGTGAGTCATAACATCTATTAAAGTATTAATGTTCACTGTTTGCGTCTATTAACTTATTAATGTTAACTGTTCAGTAGTAAGAAATAGAAACAATGCTACGCACTTCGTCTCTCAGTTGTAGCCCAGATTAGTATAATAAGTACGACATACTCCAGCAGATGTCTCTGTTAACAGTGACAACACATGGTAACTGGATTACATATTGAATCCGATAAATCCTTGTTAGTAATATTCACATATTCATGGGTTTTATTCAATAATCAATTAGGAAGCCCGACATTGGTTATAAGGGTTTGTCTGAATGATTTGTTATCATCATAATATATTTGAGTGGTTTCTGTCTTTATGTTACTGTTCGCACAACTAATGTCATTAAAAGCCCTCTTCCATTCAAATCGCAATTACAAAAACCCTTCTTCATCTCATTTAAAAAGTTATAAACATATATCATTTTCACTTTACAGGGCTCTGATGTCCTCTAAACTCATTCCAAACAATAAATTAATACATATAATATAACAACCTGGAAAGTTAATTACCAGAAACAACTAAATGAAACAACTAAATGAAACTTACGTAGATATTCTCAGGTACGGCAAACTCGCATCATTTCTCTATTTGTGGGTGTGTGGGGTCATCAGAAACGGTTAGAAGTGAAATATTATAAACTTTACTAGTTACTACTACGATTTATATGTATTAGTTACTACTAACATTTATATTTACTAGTTACTACTAACATTTATATTTACTAGTTACTACTAACATTTATATTTACTAGTTACTACTAACATTTATATTTACTAGTTACAACTAACATTTATATTTACTAGTTACTACTAATATATAACATTATTTATCATAAAATAAAACGGTGTTCACTAGAAATAATGCAAAGAGGTACAAAGTACTAAAGTATCAAAGAAAGTAAGTATTGTACTCAAATAAGAAGACGTCATCGCAAGTCCTGAAGTTGAAATCATTAACTCAATCTCTCCAATTAAAGTGTAAGTAGTATTTGACCAAAACCCATAATCATGGGTAGAGTGGACCGCTGCCATGAGTGTCTCTCTTTCCTAAATAAAAGGAAATGATATTAATTTGAATAACCGTCCGCAAATGAAAAATGATACCGAAAATGAAATCAGTCGCTCGCTTTTTTGGTGGTAGTTAGTGTCCAATTAGCTGATGTTTATTGAATCTTTATTGCAGAGTACAGCTGCTTTCGGGTAGTTCTTCTTAATCTATTACAATTGTAAATGAATGGACGGTTTGCGGACGGTTATTTTAAATTAATATCATTTCCTTTTGTTTGGGAAAGAGAGACACTGCAGCAGCAGTCTTTTCTACCCAATTATGGGTTTTGGTCAAATATCATCTCTTTTTGATTATAATGTCAGGGTACTTTACAAAGTCGAAATGTAAATTCATAACTTCATTAATAAGGAGGTAATTTCAACGATTTCGAAATTTAACCTTTGAAAACATTTCCTTGTGTTTAGGTAAGCATATCTGTTGATCACTGACTGAATATGCCACTTTATACTCATTCAATTGTTTGAACTTAAAATATGCCTGCTGAACTACTTTTGGTGAGTCTTAATGCCTGAAAAACAGTAAAGGGGGTATATATAGGGGGTAAATAGTATAGTGAGTATAATGGCGACGGTCGTGCTTGCCAGCACTGTGATAATTATAATAGTAAATAACCCTCAGGTATGGGCTGTGCTGCCATCTCGCTCAAATTTGCTCACTAACCCTCAGGTATGGGCTGTGCTACTATCTCGCTCACATTTGCTCACTAACCCTCAGGTATGGGCTGTGCTACTATCTCCCTCACAGTTGCTCACTAACCCTCAGGTATGGGCTGTGCTGCTATCTCGCTCACATTTGCTCATTACTTCATGGATCTGTTCATGGACGAGGACGATCCCGGCTTCGTAATCGCTAAGAAATCTGCAGCTACTGCAGCTATATGTAAGAGTACATTGAAAAAAATATATATAAATATATAACCTAAAAAGAACATCATATAGCAGTATAGCCATTATATGATCATTACATGGCCACTAAGCAAGTTATCACTTAACAAATAACCGCTTGCAGATTACCGATATTGATTTAGAATATTAGATTTAGAACTAATATATTAGTTCGGTTAATTTAGAATTGTAATAATGATATCATAATAAATCCCAATCAATACACAATTACAATAAGATAAATAGTTTAATACACATTTCTAGCTGTTAAATGAAATTACAGGTTTTAATTAAAGTTCATGCTCTCCTGATAGGTTTCAGGGAACAGATAGAGGCCGTGTAGAGGCCGTGTAGAGGCCGTATAGAGGCCGTATAAAGGCCATGTAATATATCTTTTAAGTGGCCGTATAGTGGCCGTATAAAGGCCGTTGAGAGGCCTTATAGTGGCCATATAAAGGCCGTATCAAGGCCAAACCTAATCGCCTAATTTCCCACATTTCCAGTGATAATAATAGCTGTGAACGTTTGGAGCACTAAGATCGGTTTGTGGATGCAGAACATATTTACAGTTCTCAAGCTGGGAGCTCTGTCTGTTCTTATCATTATGGGCATTTACTTCATTTGTGCTGGTAAGTGTATGTAGCTGATTTACAAATGTATAATATGAACATTATTACATTATTACATGTGTTAATCGTCTTTTTTACATGCTTTAAGAACCACGCTCCAGTATTTGAGGTGTGTTTCATAGCGTTAATAGTCCCCATTCATCGAAGTGCGCTAGTGTCACTGCCTTCTAATATACCCAAATGATGATTATTAACCTAGGTAAAACGCAAAACATTAATAAGAACTGGTTTGAAGGAACTACAATCGATTTCCCAAAATGGACGAACGCTTTCTTCGCCTCACTTTGGGCCTACAGCGGCTGGTGAGTATTATTCCGGTATCTGCACAAGTAATTGAAAACGAGGAGGGACATCGTGTCATTTAAATGCTGTTTCATAACTTTCTAAATGAAACGAAGATGAATGACTTAATGAGACAACCACTAAATTTATCATTTAGGATTATTGAGTTTCTACATTGCTAAGATATCTCCTCTTTAAATTCTCCACTCTCGCAGGAATTGTATAAACATGATGTCTGGTGAGATAAAGAACTCTACTAAAACAGTCCCCCGAGCTCTAGTCATAACAAACGTGATAATGATCAGCATCTACCTAGTAGCTAATATTGCTTACCACACTATTCTGCCAATAAAGGTTCTCAGGAATGAACGAGCTATAGCTGTGGTAATTTTCTGGCATATTGACAATATTCTCACCTTATTTTAAAGTTTTAAGTCGTGTAGTTTTATTGAGTCTCATTTGATGATTCTTTCAAGATTATTTCTCATCGTTTTTCTGAATACATTCTGATGAAATAGTTCGCAAGCTCACGAGCTGATTCCTCAGAGAGTGGGGAGAGAAGTGGGGGGTGAAGGAACCTGGGGAGAGTGGGGGAAGTGTTCTTCGGAGTCAGCGTTGCTATATCAACCTTCGGAGCCCTGTCTTCTTCTCTCATGGGCAGTTCCAGGTACAGTAAACTACTTCTACTCTATACTAGTTGGTAATGTTCCTGGTGGATATTTTATTTGGATAATTTAGATCATGACTTTTTGGAAGATATGACAATTGACAAATCACAACTAATTAATATTACAACTTGTCAGATTACCGTTTATTGCTGCACAAGAAGACATGTTCCCTAAGTTCGTGGCTCTGATACAAGTGAAGAATGGAACTCCCATAGTCGGTCTCTTCACCATGGTAACGAGTTATTAATTTTTTCATTTAAAAATAAAATGTAGTAAAAACAACCTAAGCTTTCCTCATTTACTAAATCAAAAAGGTGCTGATCTAGTCGTTCTCAAATTGAAACTGGAAAACTTTGTCAGGGAACCTTGGCAACATTCTGGGTTTGGCCGATTGATATTGGAGGCTTAATCAAGTAAGAAACCTGAAAATCATCCCCCCCTTATTATGTAAAAACTCATTTCTAGAATAATTGCGAACTGCTATGACTAACAAGAATTTACCACCCTTTGCTTTATTAAAGTGGTGGATGGAAACGATAACGTCAATATGATATCGCTATTGATTTCGATAGTTACGTCTTGAGAGGATACGTAGTCAGTATAATTACCAGTTTTCCTTTACGCATCAATACTTTTTGTAAGCAAATTAACGCTCATATAAATCCTGATATAAACATGTTCAGGTACGTCGGCTTCCTGTCCTGGGCATGGTGGGGAATGTGCTTCTTTGCAGTTCCTCTCCTCCGCTACACTATGCCTGGCCACCCAAGAACCTTCAGGGTATACAATAGTGATAATTAATATAGTCGGTTCTTAAAATATAACGAAGAATTCTCACAAATAATATTTAAAATATTTGTAGATATTAGCTAACATTGTTTGATAGTTGGGGACAAAGTGAGAGTCTCCACTCAGTGTTTCAAAACAAATAGTTGTCAATGTTTCGTCACACAGCCTTTGTCATGGACGAGACGTTATGATAACTTCTTACATAACTCAATAAATTTAATAGATTTGTAGTGTTGTTTGTAATAAGTTTTAAAACATTTATTGAGCTATGTGTATGAAGTTATTGTAACGTCTCGTCCATGACAAAGGCTTGTGCTGAAACGTCAACAACTGTTTGTTTTGGAACACTGAGCGGAGACTCTCAATTTGTCCCCAACTATCAAACTATATGATCGACCCACTCATTAGAGCGAGGAAAGATTACTATAGATAGCGAATATTCTTTACAAATAACAACTAATATGTTTACAAATAATAACTGAGAATTCTCACAAATAACAACTATTAACTTTTACAAATAATAACTAAGAATTCTCACAAATAACAACTATTTTTCTAACACGCCAGGTGTTTCTACCCGTGACTGGGTTTGCTATCATGGCTTCACTTTATCTTACTATCGGACAGTTCGTCGCTAGTCCAGTACCATGTCTAGGCTGGCTAGGTAAATAAAGTTCCTTCCTTTCTAACATAGTACCTTGTTAAGATGGTAATGTAAATATAAAATTTCTATGATCCTGTGTTAAATCGAAATAATCGAACCGTTCATCTATCCATGTGTTTTAAAATTCGCGAAGCCATTTTACACGATTTCACGGTTTGGACCATGAGGTGAGCCTTTCTGGTGGGCCATTATATCAAATAACAATGTTATTCTTAGCTGTGGTAGCTGCCGGAGTACCGATATACTACGGGTTCGTGGACCCTGATAACACCTGCAGAACATGGATGGGTAAGTAATATGTTACTAGTACTAAATAATAAGTTACGAGTAAGTAATAATTGTTACTCGATTCTTATGTATAAAACTTATCATTACAGTATTGTATATCTTTCAGCATGGTTGTTGTCAAAGCTATCTAAACTTCTCAAAGCGGAACTGTGAACATTTGCCAATAACTCCTGGAATATCAAGAAAGAAAATAATCAGTCTGCATAATTACTGCATGTTTGAGAGATTACGTAACCGTGCTAGCTTAAATAAGCTATATTGGTTAGTGAACAAACTTGATCGAGTTTTATGGACTTATAAACTAACGATTGCATGGAAAATATAAAGATTAAAGAATTAGTGTGTTGAACTGAAATGTCATACAACGTTATATTGCTTACCTGCCATTTTATGCTTTGTATGAAGTTTTATAATATATTATTTTATATCAAATTAATAGCCTCTATTCTCCTTATCATGCTGGATGTCTCCCAATTCATGGTTGGACTTACATAAGAAATTTCGGCAGAAATGAGAATATAGTGATTAAAATTTTTTCGGAAGGATAATCAATATCCATCAAATGCCCGTACGTTGTTTTTTAACCCATATGTGCTGTCTGTACAAATGTTATTCAACAGTCATTTGCAGATATTTTAACCTAATTTACTGATAAAATTAAGAAACGATGATTGGGTTATAATTGCACGATTTGAAGAAAAGCGTGGCAAGTGAAAAATGTGCAGCTTTCCATACATTGATTGGGTTAATAACTATGAGGAGAAATACGTATCGTACCGGGGGTTAAATACGTACGTAATTTAAAAAATTAATATCTTTTTTAAATGACTCATAAAATTCAACCGTATTTTGATAATTCATCAGCCCTCTACTTTAAAAAAAATTGAAACCATGATTGGGTTATTATTGAATGATTCAAGTGTACATTACTGAAGTACCCTAAGTTATTAATTGGATGTGGAGCTGCTGTAATTGCCAACCCCATTCCTCAATTCTTTCCTGCAAATTGAGGTGCCCAATCCCTTCACTCCCCATCAGAGTGTTGACATTTCTTATTAAGCTTAGAGTTGCCTGCGCCGCCTAGCGACTCTTTGTTCACAAATGTGACTGAGAAGTATAATCAGTTGGGGATTTGTAGTACCTACCTACTCATCATTTTGCGGCCTCTACGTATCGTCACCTCGCACAACTTACAATAGGTGCTGTGAAAAAAGCTTTCCAGACATTTGCATTGGGTTAACGAGGTGGCGTACGTCACCTCGAGATCAGATAGCAATATTACAATGAGTTGCCCGAGCTGTGTCCCAGTTGATTGTGTCTGAGTATGGTACGTGACTATGACGTCACCTGAGCTGCTGCTCCTTTTAGGACCAGGTGAGAGCGCATACTTGTGAATGTAAATGTAAGTATGGTTTACAGTTTACAGTTTACACTGTAATAACCCCTTATAATAAAGCCCAGGTTTATATGATGATCGAGAGCTCGGGCTATATGTTTCTGCCTTCTATGTGCCGCTAATAACAGTAGAACAGTAGTATATAACACAATCTGTACATTACTAGTTTACTCATAAAGTGTAGCAATGCTACTAACTCGGTGTTATTAGAGACCTTATGTTATATAGCAATACCAAAGCAACCTGCAACAAAGCTAGATCAAGTTTCACCTCAGTGTACAACAAAGCTGTATATATCTGTGTATTAATTTCTCATGTGCAAGCGCTAAACACTAATTTGAACGTATTTTATTTTAAAACGATGTTTCTGGTAGTGCTTCGTAACTTTTAATGACATCGAATGTAATTTACTGGAACCAGACAGCATACACAAATCATTTAGAACTTGTGGATACTGAATCAGTTACTCTCGATATCTTTTTGTCACATTTTGTTTCATATTTCCCGTTTATTCGACCAGTTTCTCAGTTCAGCTTGCTTGTGCCTATCTTACATATAAGTGCGGTCATATTTTGCAAATATAGTGATTAGTGCACTAATGACTTATCACACTATCGCATGCATGTAGTGATAAGTCATTATATGTGCACTATATTAGTGCACTAATCACTATTATTCGTTACACTATAAAAATGAATGAAGCGGTGAAAATCTAAGAGGGTGAGAGGTTCTTTAATTATAGCTAATGATTAAATGAGACCCACTAAAGGTACTAAATTAACCGGACTGCTAGCGAGGAATCGAGAGTGGGAATAAAATAAATGCGGAATAAATTCGTATCTGCCTAAAATCATGCTTTTAAGTACTAGAAATTTAGCTTTTAGGTACTGGAAATTAAGCTTTAAGGTACTGGAAATTAAGCTTTAAGGTACTCTCAGGTTTGATTATTTAACATCGTAGTACGGTATATAACAATACGGTATATAACAATACATTACCCGATTGTTGAGTTTAATACAAACGATAACTTACAATCACCTATAGCATTATCCCCATAGTCAGAGTGTTCAATATTACAACATTAGATTGCAACACTGTGTGTATGAGTGTGAGTGCCTGTAAACGGGAACTTTCATATTTAATCGCGACTAGTAAAGTGACTAAATTTCAATCTGTTGAATGATTGCGATCCAGCTTGCAAAGATTCACCCTATATTTTATTTAATCAACTATCGGTAGTATTAAAAGTCGCTGCATTATCAACTTGTCATTCGAGGAGGGTTGTTTTTAATGTATTTTCCCGATTTTTATAGAAACACATTCTTACCGATGTTTTTGATGTTATGTCATGAAAAACTTTTGACCCTAGCCTATCTTAGTAGTGTCTATTTAAATCTCACTTCAACTAAAGGCATGAACATGACGTGACGAGAAGGAACCCTTAAAAGGAATAATGAATGTCACTGGTCTTTCGATTCTTTTATCGAATAATAATGGTATTTTGCACTCATTTCTATTTTGCAGCATATGTGCTCCAAAGTAAATCTTCTTTAGTATGTCTCTACAGAGTATTACGTTGAGCTGCTATTATATGTGTTATGTAATGATACTGTAATAGTTAGCTTGTTGAATGTTAAGGAACTAATAGCTTATCTAGTTTTACTTAATTAAGGGTGCAATTGAGCGACCAATAAGTTAATTAGTTAATTGATTGAGCGACTAATTGGTTAATTGATTGAGCGAATAATAACCGCATATTACCTAATCTTATTACAGTTTTTTGTCAAGTCATTCAGATTCTGCCAATTTTACTCGCTCTGGCCTTATTTCCATTTTTATATTTTTATATCTGAGTTCTGACCAGTTCTTACAGCTATGATTCTGAAAAGTTTCTAAGCGACTGATAAGGTACAACAAAATAACAAAAGCTGCATACTAGCCAGGAGTAGCACTTCTGCCGTGGTAACCTAGGTAACCTAGGAGCCCCTAGGACTTCATAGGGCATGACTCCTAAAGGGAGAAGGGTGTAACTAATACGTACCTGCCAGAATATCGTGATGAGTCTGATATTTTAAATTTAGCGATCAGCTTGAACTGCATGATCTTTGCTTTGGAATTCTTGTACATATGTTCTAGACATTTTAGGAATTTTCCATCTATGCCAAGGGTTGAGAGCTTGTATAGAAGAGCTTCACGACTGATGGAGTCGAAAGCTTTGCGAAAGTCCACAAAACAAGAATACATTTTTTTGTCCTTTGTTATTCACGTATTTGTCTACACAAGTGGAAAGGGTGAACAGATGATCCACAGCTCTAGCGTTCTTGAAGAAGCCAAGCTGGTTTACTGTGTCCGAGCAATGTTCCTTCCTGAATTTTAGCAATCGATCCAATAAGATAGTCGAAAACAGTTTACCAAGGTTGCTCCCGATCGCAATGGCCCTGTAATCATCATGAGGGTCGTAAATACATCCTATCTTATGGAGTGGGCTCACGATCGTAGTGTTCCATGGATAGACACCAAGGTCCAAGCAACCATTAAAGGGCTTAACTAACACTGAGAGAGCGCAGTGGTTCTGGACGGCGGACTTCAGCTGCTCATTGAGTAAACAATCTAGTCCAACCGCCTTACCGTTTTCACTGCTTGTACAACCTCTTATGATGATATATAATATCATCGTTTAGTACTATGCTCATTATTCGTTCATTTGCCTGAGTCACTGATCTATTCTGTGGAAAGTTTGTATCCTTGATCCTTCTTTTTGTAGAGATCCAGAAGGAATTGGTAGAACTTCACCATGTCGAATATGTCGAGCTTGGAGTTGGAGGGTTTTTCGTTAAACTTCTTTCTTTAAGTTTTTTAAGTTCTTCTAGTACAGACAGATCCGTCTGAAAAAATCGATCTATACCGAGACAAAAAGCTTAGTGTAAAATTAGGTTGGCACCAGAACAGTCCTCCCGAGGCGTACCGGTGGTCTACACTGCCTGCTCACAAAGGTACGGTAGCGAAGTGGCGTACACGGGTAATTAAAATGTACAAGGGTACGATAGAGAAGTGTCGTACACAGTACTTAAGAAATACACGGGTACGATCTTGAAGTATCGTACGCGGTACTTAAAGAAATATACGGGTACGATGTCGAAGTCTCGTACACGAATACCTGCAAATCTCTAGCTCTCAAGCTCTGCAACCTTAACTCTTACAGGCTTCTGAGTGCCGTACAACTTTAAATGATCGAATGACTTGATCGAGTCCTAAGTTAGGTGAGAACAAAGGAAACAGGGTATTCGAATAATAAGTCTCGAAAGGTTATGAATTACTACTTGATCAATATACCAAGACTAGCGACTCGAAAGCCACGCTACACTGTTCTCGGAAGCGGTAACTTTTACAACCTTACCGTTAAACAATCTTCCCAGAACTGCCGCTAACGGGGCAAGCAAAACCTACCAGCACTGGGTCACGTGACATCACATGGCGAACCACGTGACACCGCGCGGCCCAGTCTGTCCAATAACCTAACTTAACTAGCTAACCTGACTAACACGTGCCTTCCTCCGCAAAACCATCCATAATCTATTCCACTAATCTAATCTAATCTTATACTAATCCTAACGGTTATTTAACACTAATACTAGAATATTCCAAAAGATCTAAAAACTAACAAGCCTAAGACCTGCTGCAACCAGCTACCATATTACACTATATCCCCCGGGAAAATTTAATCGATTTCGTCAATATCTCCAGGAGGTATTGACAAATTCGACCAAATCCCCCCTACCTACTAAAATCCTAAAATACTAAAACCTACACCACTAAAAAAATATAAAAAATGCACGTATAAACCCTCACGTGACTAACACTAACCCTAAAAATCCCACGTGCTAACCTCACGTGTCCAACTCCATACACAAACTGAAAAAAAATGTACACTACACGTGTAAAACTTCATCTGATATAATAATAAATCCACGTGTTTCACGTCATACAAAAATAAACTTTCAAATATACAGGGTGGGCCAAAAGTCAGTGTGCAAACGTTGGGTCTTATACCTCCGCCGTGTTTTATATTTGAGAGCTGTTGCTTTGCAGATGGCATACTGTACTTACTGGTTCGAGGATTCCGTCGTCAAAATTTGAAAATTCGAATATTTTAGACCACGCCCATTCAATATTAAAACACCTATATTGTTTTCTCTGAACATGTTGAACGCCTAATTTTTTCAGAGACGGTAGATTATCAAATGTTGCATATGATCTGAAAACATGAGGCAAAACGGATTAGAAATGACGAAGTTATCAAGCATTTTGTGTATCTCGTTAACAAAATTGACTGGGTGATTATGTGACACCGTGACACGACACCTTAATTGGGCACCCTTAACAATTCCCATAATGTTTAACGGGGTAGTTAACGGGGTCACCTAATCACGTGATTAGGTAAACCAATCACCTGATCACACGTAATGAATAAACTCGTTATGCTTCATATCTCGGTCATCTGAGAAGCTACAGTTCTAATTCTTTCAGGACAAACGTAATTCGAATGGCCAAACACAATTCAATAACATTTAGCTTGATCCGACTATCCAAACTATCAAATAAATGTGAAAATGAACCTCCATTTGAAAAAAATGAACGCGAATATTTTTCGAGTTGACAAATTCCTCGAACCAGTGGTGGTACTAAGTCATACCAGAAGGAAGTATTTCAATTGGGCACTCAGTGACTGAGCTATTAAGGCCAACGTTTGCACACTGACTTTTGGCCCACCCTGTATATACACACTTGCTACCCTCTAGTCTCTCCTAAATTGTCCTAACTGTCCTTTCCAAATTGTCCCTCCTGCTGTCTCTGCTCCTGTCTCTGATGTTAATCTGACTGATGTAGAATGTAGATGTAGTATCTGTATCGTCTCCTGCATTCTCCACTTGGAGTTGGTGATCGATGCCTGAAAATACTCCTCTACTCGGCACACCCAGTCACGAACCCTCTACTCCATCTAATGTTCGTACGCTTAGCTGCTTAGGTACGAACATACTCTCTACTAAAATGCTCAGTACGCTTAGGTACGAACATACTCTCTACTAAGAAATTCTGTACGCTTTAGGTGCAAACTAACGTAACTAAAATGCTCAGTACGCTTTAGGTACGAACATACTCTAACTAAGAAATTATGTACGCGTAGGTACAAACTAACTTAACTAAAATGCTCAGTACGCTTAGGTACGAACATACTCTAACTAAGAAATTCTGTACGCGTAGGTACAAACTAACTTAACTAAAATGCTCAGTACGCTTAGGTACGAACCTGCTAGTCACCTCAAACTGTCATATACATAGATATGAAGTCAATCATCTAGATTAAGACCTTATCGGCGCAAGATAAAAAGTCAACTAAAGGCAAATCTAGGCATCAGGAGCGATGCTCTACCGGAACTAAGGTGACCCACACTCTACACTCTACTCTTCTCCACGGTTCAACAACTAACTCCACCTCTAGCAAACTCTCCACTCTCCAGGGTAGCAAGCCCTTCAAAATAAAAAACACATCACTCAACAATATCAACTGATATTAAGGACACCAGGCATACCCTAAGCACGGCGGGAGATAAGAAATGCAACGATGACCACCTTCCACAGGTTCCATGACAAATCGTCGTATCTGCCCGAGCAACAGGTAGTTAACTGGCATCCCTTGACCAGCAATCCTCTAAAAACCAAGTAAACTGTCCTTTACCCCCTTCAATACAGCATTAATTCTTGACACCGGTCTATAGTAATCCGGCCTCTTTAACTGAGCTCTATTTCTTAGAGAACGTCCTCCACTGGCTACAGGCGTACTCTGTTCATCAGGTGAGTAAGCTAGTGTATTGTTGCTCTCCCCCAGCTCGACAGGACTTAAACTATCCTCTATCCCGGATGTAGGTTCCTCAACCCCTCTGCTCCACCTGGGTGTGTAGAAAGATCCAAAACTTGATCCCGTCTCCTGGATCGGTGATGAAATGTGAATCGGAGTGTTAACCCTATCTGGTTTCTGAGGGTCATGTTGGATTGAAATGTCCTGACTTTCCGTTCTGAAAGGAAGTGTATATTCCGGAGATAGAGGTACGTCAGGAATATCAATATTCTGACTAGACAAGGTACTCTCTCGAACCACAGAACTCCCTCTCTCCACACGCTCAGGCATCCACTCCTCATCACTACTGCTATCACTATCCCCACTGTCCCTTCTCACTGGGTCTTTTCTCATCTCATTCTTCCAGCCATGTTCTCCATCACCGATTACTATCTCGCTCCCACTACTACACGCTCTGCTGTTCTCTCCCATACCGCACATGACGTTATCTGCGTCACTCATCACACCAAAACTATTCTCAGAGGATTCACTAACGGAAGAAGCGTTGTGATTACGTGTAACATTACTAGAGGATTCACTAACGGAAGAAGCGTTGTGATCACGTGTAACATTACTGGAGGATTCACTAACGGAAGAAGCGTTGTGGCTCGGAATGGTATTAACACCCACAGACCTGGTAAACTCCTCTCCTCCCGATCTCTCATCTAGACTGACATCTGTCTGGCACGATGCTTCCGCAAAACTCCTTCTGAATGGAACTCTGCTTCGTTTGTCCTCCTCAGCATTAGACATTGTCGCCTTTATCATGTTCAGCCCGTGACTCTCCAACAACTCATTCTGAGTCCATCTTTCACCACAGAACTTTTCTGCCTGACCCCTGTTCTCCTGAGCTTGTCTATCAATCGCAGTCCCTCTAACACCGATATCGTGACCTCTGATCCTCTGCTATGCACGCCGTGTATAAATTTCTTACCGCTTACAGGTTTCAATAGTGCGACGATTTTGTTCTTGCGGATCGTTATTGGCTCATCAGTAGAGTTAAAACACTTTATCGGGACCAATCTTTTATCAGAGTGCACAACTGCATGAGCGAATGAAATGCCCGTGTCCCCAATACCTTGCTTGTACTGTGGCTTAATCACACCTTTAAAATTCACTCCTTTCGCCTGTAATTTTCCCCTGATGTACTGCACCGTGTTAGGAGGAATGATCGTGACCTTGCTACATCTCACTTTTATCTGCTGCTTGACATTCTCCGGCTTCTCCGTGAATGGTACACTATCTCCATTAGTCAGCACCAGTCTGCACTTGCTGTAGTCCAGAGTTACCCTATTTGACCTCAAGAAATTATCTCCAATCAGGAATTCTGTGTCTAACAGATCAGTTACCACGAAGGTGTGTACAAATCTATTGCCAGCAACTACCACCTGTAGCTCTAACTCTCCCCTGATTTGTATCGTGTCTTGAGAAAATGACTTCAATGTCATGTCACACGGTCGGATCCCGCTCTCTAGACCCAGTTCTCTCACAAAACCCGTGGACACAATACTCACAGCCGACCCGCTGTCAACAAAAAGGTAGGCTTCCACTCCTCTGCAACTCCCAGCCACCAAGATGTGCTCCCAGTTTACTGCATTTACTTCTGTAGTAAAGTAGGATTAGGGTCAATTTAGTAGGGTCTAGGGTTAAGTTAGGTTTTTAGTACAGTTTATATTATAGTTTAATAGTTAGTTCTTATAGTCCATAATTAGAGTAAAGTAATTTCGTAGGTTTTATATTGCAGCATCTTTTAGAATCCTTTTAGTGCTAGGTTACATTCATTTACATTTCTTATCTTTAAATTTTAGTTTTACGTGTAAGTAAGAGCACGCGGAAGTTGTACTCATGCGTGACTTATATTCACGCGTGAGTACAGCCTTTTTAAGGGCCTACTTGTTCAGTGCGGGCGTCTAGTCTGTGTCACGTCCCCCTTTTGGAGAGTTTTTAATATTGTTACAAAGTACTATACGTCTATTTACCGAATTATCCAAAGACTTTTTTCTATTCTTTTTAGACATTTTTAGTGAGACACACTTCTCACCTTTATAAGTTTACTGTTGAAGTTTAGTAAGGCACACTCCTTACTGTTGTATCAGACACACTTCTGATACAACCAAATTGTAGAGACACACTTCTCTCCTTTATTGTTACGTATTTATTGTTGAAGTTTAGTAAGGCACACTCCTTACTGTTGTATCAGACACGCTTCTGATACAACCAAATTGTAGAGACACACTTCTCTCCTTTAGTGTTACGTATTTATTGTTGAAGTTTAGTAAGGCACACTCCTTACTGTTGTATCAGACACACTTCTGATACAACCAAATTGTAGAGACACACTTCTCTCCTTTTCTGTTTTTGATATTGGGACATACTTCCCGATCGTTTGATACTAGTGAGTGTAGATTGACATAAGTTAGGAACGCCCACTCGCCACGTAGACCACCTATAGTATAATACCTCGTTTACAACATCTACATAACTCTGGTAAGCGGTACAGACCCCACTGTCGCTCAAAAACCAATTATTTTTAAGTAGGCCCTAAACCCCAAAAACCGCGGCATTTTCTGAAGATAAAGTTGGATTATTTAGGAGTGTTAACCATGGTGGTATCTCAACAATTCATTGTCCAATAACCATATTTTTCAAATAAAAACATATTTTGACAGACACCAGAATGTTACAAATTATCCCAGCTTTCTGTAGAATGAGACCCATGGTAGACTTATCTTCGCGAAAACAAATAATTATCCGATAACCATTTTATTATCAGTTCCACTGAACAAACACGGTTTTAACTGAGACTCCTGACCTGCTCATGCCCACTGTAGCCGCTCATATTGATAATTATATTTCATATTTTCATGTTTAATGAGAAGGAGAGCTTCAGTAGAGCGCAATTACCCTGTCTGTAACATGTGGGACAGTGCCCTAAATCACATTTTGCAGGAGACCTCAGTTGTCATGAACCAATTTAGGTTTAGTACGACATGTCTTAAATATGGGAGGTTTGTGGAGATTGGAGGGTTTGGAGAGTTCCGCGTTTTATGGTTTTATGGTTCCTAACTTCCTGTCCACCTAAGAATGATTGCAATGTCACCCCAACAAGATCCCAAGTATCATGGACTGTTACAACCCCAGAAACACCACTCACTGGTTGTAACGGAGCCCGTATCCCTATAAGGATAAAACCCTATCTCTGCAGAGCAGCAGCCGACATGATCCCAAACATATTGTGTCATATCTACACGTATAGAATTAAGTAAGAGTCCGTACAAGCTATATCTGCAGAGGGAAGTGTGCAGGAATGTGCAGGAAGTGTGCAGGATATATGCAAAATGCAGCAATGTTGCAACATTTGCAGGATTGTGAACTAGAAGTCCCGGATGAGAGGGCACCTCAGCGAGTCACGTTGCAGGGCCGTCTCAAAGTACAAACTACCGAGGTGATCATACTATCGTGGTGATATCTTGGAAATGTGTTGTTGATGAGTTCATACGATGATATTAGTCCTGGTTGTTTGAGCGGTTCTGCTGGTTGCCTTGGTAGGTAGTCTGATTAGAGTTGTAAACCTGTGGTTGGAGATAGGACAGTTGTTCAGAGTAAGAGTATTGGTTCGAATTCAAAGAGGGTCTATTGTAAGTCGGCAGCTGGCTGTTGAACCTCAGAGTGGTCATGTTATAAAGCTGCTGCTGTTGCTGCTGACTGTTGCTACTCTCAGCTGTGCTGGTATTCGGCCTGGCAGCGTTTTGAGTTAGAGTGTTGTTCTGTGTAACTTGAATACCGGCATTCTGCTGCAGCCCAACTGTTTGCATAACTTGAGTTGGCTGAATTTGCAGGGTATTGTTCGAAGAAAGATTCAGGCTGGCTTGGTTGCCAATGACTATGGGCTGAGAGTTCTGGGTTGGCTGCTGATTGGTAATCTGTTGTGGCTGAGTACTAGAGGCAGTTTGTATATTAGTTGTAGAGTTTGCTGATGAAGTGGCTGGGTTTGCCAGCTGGAAGTAATACTGAACTTGATCCGCATTTGGAGTCCGTATTTCAGTCTCCTGGACGGTTTCCTGTCGTTTTTGGGGTTTTAGTTCATCCCGAGGGACGATATCAATCAGGAAATCAAACTGGTCATACTTTGCCACTGCCATAGCTATGTCGTTTCTCTGTAAAGTTCGCCTCTTGTTGTCCTCGGTGTGTATCCAGGCTCGCAGAGATAACTCGTTGATAAATATCTCGGCTGCTTTAGCAAATAGCACTGGTGCTTCTGCACTTATCATTTTAACTTCTTCGTCCATCTTCATTATCTTCTTTATTCTAGCCAGAGGCAATTCCTGTGTCTTGAAATCTTGAACAGTATTTATCTCCTCATTGACAGTATTCCAAAAGCTGGCCAACTTCTGCTGAGCATCAGTAGATCCAGTAGAGCTGTAAAGTCCTGTATCCATGTTGACACAAAGTGCTTACTTTTACAGTAGGTATCAAGTATTGTTCATACCATTTTTGCTCAGTTCAGTTTTTCAAGATTATCCCACATTCAAACGACGATTTTCCTCCCCCCTCTGTGGTTCCTAACCTTCTTTCTTCACTACGCATACGGGAACTTAAATTATTTGTTATATAGTAGTGTTGAAAGTATTAAAACTGGAGTAGTTGAGCCACTGACAACTGAATCTAACTGGAATTCTCCCATTTTCCTCGTAGCCAAGTCTTCTCCTGGAACATATCGTGTGGTCGCAGATCTTCGGGGAGTAAACAAACAGTGCCTAGCGGACAAGTATGATCTTCCTAACATCAATCATGTACTAGATAAAATAGGTGGTGACTGTATATTCTCTACGTTTGATATGGCTGCGAGTTTCCATCAGATTCCATACGATGAAGCTTCAAAACCTATCACTGCATTTAGTTATAAGGGACGTAGATATAATTTTGCTAGAATGATTATGGGTCACTGTAGTTCTAGTTCTATCTTTACTCGTATGGTCTACAGATTGTTAGAACACTCACCTAGTATCGAACACCTTCTTTATTTTTTAGATGATTTACTTTTGGGTTCTAAGGATGTGCATTCTCACATTGAAAGACTGGAAAGGATGTTGAAGCAGCTGATGAGTGCGAATCTGAAGCTCACCCCCAACAAAACGGAATTGATGCGAACAGAGGTGAGATATGTCGGTATTACCCTGAGTACTGAAGGAATACGGATAAATGATGATCGAATAGAGGCAATCAAGAAAATAGAGCCTCCAAGAACGGTGAAAGAGACCCAAAAAGTGTTAGGATTCTTTGGATACAACAGAAAATTCGTTAGACGTTATGCAGAGCTCAGTGAACCTCTATACGCACTGCTGCAGAAAGGAAGAAAATTTGTCTGGACATCAGAATGCCAGAAAAGTTTCGAAGACCTGAAAATTGCAATCAGCAGCTCGCCTACCCTCTGCTTCCCTGAAGTACACGATCCTCATGATTCTTACGAAGTTACAGTGGATGCTTCAATACATGGTCTGGCTGCAACTTTAACCCAGATGATTGATGGACAAAGGAGAACGGTGGGGTACTTCAGCAAGGCAGTTCCTCGACACAAGAGAGAATGGGGTCAAACAAAGCTTGAATTCGAGTCGTTGTGTGCAAGTTTGAAACACTGGGCTGTCTATCTTAGAGGAGCTAAGACATTTAAAGTGATCACTGACTGCAAGAGTCTCCTCCACCTGGACACTATATTCAAAGCTAACCCCACGGTGATACGACGATTACAGGAGCTAGCAGCCTTCAACTTCACTATGCATCACATTGAAGGAGTGCGGAACGTCTCAGATTTCCTTTCTCGTTATGGAATGAAACCATCAACTGTTGAGATTTCTACACAGACTGAAGAAGCCGAGATGTTTAGAGTAAAGAGTATTACACCAATCTGTGTAGATACGAACAGCGTGAAAGAAAATACTTCGTCACCACTCTGTGACGGAAGTAAAACTCAGTCCGAAAAGAAGAGGGAAAATATCTTACCACCCGTCTGTGATGATAGTACGACTATCAGTGAGGTGGAGATACCCAGTGATCTGCAGCTACTATTTGAAGGAGAATACGAGTCTGTAGTGGATTTCAAGATTCAAAAAGTTAAGGAGGTTGAATGCTATTGTGCATTGCAAGAAATGCCAGTAAATGAAAAGAGGTTGAGCGAAGAGGAAATTAAAGAATTTCAAGTATCTGCTGTTACTGAGGATGTTGATGTCGAGCCTAAAAGAAAAAAGATATGTGATGAACAGGATAAAGATCAGATTCTCAAAGTGGTCAAAGACTGGATAATTGCTGGAGAAAAGCCCAAGATCCAGACTAATAGGACTCCAGCTATGTTAGTTTCATTGTGGAAACAATTTAATCTGCTGAAGATCTCTGAGGATGGTTTACTTATGAGAGCATGGGTGAATGTGAGACATCCAGATCAGAAACGGGACCTGATCGTTGTACCGGAGAATCTCGTCGAAGGGATTATGAAGCTACATCACTCGACCCTTACAAGTTGCCACCCTGGAGCAGAAATATCGGTTGACCTCTGTCGCCGAAACTTTTATTGGCCCAAGATGGTTGAGGATTTCAAAGAATACATTGCAGCTTGCGAGAAGTGCGGAGCCATAAAGCAACCACAGAGGTACCTAAAAGCCCCTCTACGACACATGTTATTCCACTCCTTCAACGATTGCATCATTGTGGACCACATAGTGCCAGAGTCTGAGGGAAGAACTCCACGAGGATATCGGTATATCCTGACTATAACTGATGCATGGAGCAACTATGTTGTGGCAATTCCTGTAAAAACACAGACTGCAAAGGAAAACATTGAACAGATTGTTCGACGTTGGACGTTGATTCATGGAATACCAAAAGAGATCATCGTCGATAATCATCCAGGCTACTCGGCTGATTATTTCAAAGCAGTATGGCAGTACTTTGAATGTAAGGTAACTCACGGCACAAGTTACAAAGCACGGAGCACCGGAAAAGCAGAGAGATCTAATAAAAGGATAAACCAGGCGTTGAGAGCTGCTATTCCAGAGGGAAAAGAAAGATGCTGGGACATTTATCTGGGCTACTGTGTCATGGCGCTTAACTCGCTGAAAAACAGACACACTGGATACTCAAGCAACAGATTAGTCTTTGGAAGGGAAACAAACACCCCGATAACTTTACTTGTGGATAATGACTTAAAGACGGAGATCCCATCAAAGAAAAGTAAAGGAGCTTACGAGATGTATACCTTGATGAAGAGAACACTTAGAAAAGTTCGGGAAAATGCGGACACGGACTTTCTGTACTCTAAACATCAGCATGACAGAAATATCCTGGGACCATACTTTAAAGCAGGTGATCTGTGTTATGTCCTGATAAACTGTCCTCAACACAAGTACTCAATAAGATGGAGAGGTCCGCTATTGGTAAAGAAAGTGATAAATGACCATCTTTATGTTGTGCAGATAACACCTGAAACGGATAAAGTGACAAATATCAGTAAAATGAAACATTTTGCGAGGAATAAGCACAATAAGACCAAATATCCTCTAGCTGTCACCCACTCTGGCGCACAGACTGCTCTCCCTGTCACCCAATCTGGTGCACAGACTGCTTCTTCAGACACCCATACAGGTGAACTGAACAACGATGACAGTGACGAAGACGAACAGTTTGCTACAATACATCATCCTCAGCGTAGAAAAAGACAGTCTTTACATCCCAACAAGACACTTGATCCTGTGATAGCTGCTCCTGATATGAGTAGTACCCCAGTTCAACCACCACCTGCTCGGACAACTACACGAGAGATTGAAATATTACCAGCTTCGCCAATATCGATAAGGACCACTCCTCCAACGGAATTGAATGAAGAAGAAACTGATCGACGAAGTGGATCTTTAGAAGAACAGGAGAGTAGAAACTCAACGGGTGCCTTTGTGTCTTTCGAAACTAGTGATGAAGGCACAGTTCAGCTGGATGCTGAAGAACAAAGCCATCAAGAGATACCGGAACCAGAACCACGATATGGGTTCAGGAACAGAGAAAGTTTGCGACCTCCGGACTATTACAGTGATAACCAATCATCTACGATTAGACGGGTGATTAACAATCTGGCTGGAATATTTCAGTAATGCCAGATAATCGGGCACAGTTTCAAGACTGGGATTGGAGTGCAAGTGCTACCCAGGCCCAACCGAGCACACTAGTTGACCGATCGATTATAGTTGGTATAGTTTCTAGCCACACTGCTAGACTACATCAGTATGAGTCAGAATGTATGTCAGTATATTTGTCTGTGTAAACCATTTACAGAAGTACCTGGCGTTTCAAGATGGGAAAGAAATGTAATGATGTTTATTCAACGACGGAGTAAAAGATGGAGAAAGATTTATGATGATAAAGAAAAGATGGATACACAATGATGGACGATGAACTATTTTTGTTGATTTTGAGTAAATATAAAGAGGACAGTTTATATCTAATTGTAATAGATGATCATTTTATATCCTGCCTCTGAGAAGGACTATTGTATGTGAATGTATATGATTTGAAGTTCAGTTATAGCTCTTTTAAAAAACGTACTATGTGTACCGTTTTTTAAACGCGGTTTTGACAATATTATGAAAGTTTAAGATAACTTACTTGTAATATTTGGGCGATGATTCTATTTTAGTCGCAAATATTTGAAAATAATGTTGAATGTAAGATACTTGCAGAAATTTTAGTATTGCTCGTGGGTCTTGAACTGTTTTATGGTAATTTTAGTCGTACAATTTTAAATTAATTAGAAAGAGATTTTATTGGGAAATTTGTTTTTTTTTAAGATTTTAATTTTTGATGTTGTGTTTTTCCCTTGAGACGAACAGTCCGTTTTCTTGTTGGGGTGTTATTATTTAAATTTGGGAAATTAGGGTCAATTTATTTGGGTTTGGGTTTAAATTTTAGGTTTTTAGTACGGTTTTTTTTTGTTTAATTTTTTAGTTTTTTTTTGCCCAAAATTAAAATTTTAAAGAAAATTTCGGGGGTTTTTTTATTGCAGCTTCTTTTTGTACCCTTTTAGTGCAAAAGGTTTCATTTTTTTTTTTTTATCTTTAAAATTTTATTTTTCCGTGTAAAGAAAGAGCACGCGGAAGTTGTACTCATGCGGGGACTTTTTTACGCTTTGGTACCCCTTTTTAAAGGGCCCCTTTACGGGGTTCAGTGCGGGGGTTGGGCTGTTTTACGCCCCCCTTTTGGGGGTTTTTTTTAATTTTTGGTTACAAATTCCCCTTTTGGGCTTTTTTACCGAATTACCCAAAAGACTTTTTTCTATTCTTTTTGGCATTTTTAGGGGGGAACATTTTCTAAACCTTTATTTTTTTTAATTTGTGAAGTTTGGGAAAAGGCACACCCCTTACTGTTGTATCGACACACTTCTGATACAACCAAATTGTGGGAAAACACACTTCTCCCCTTTTGGGTTACGTATTTTTTTTTGGGATTTTTTTGAAAGGCCCCATTTC